TTCATTGAAAATATCAAAAAGACAATCAAACAAACACTGTAAAAATGTATATTGTTAGATCTTTGTAAACGCCATAATCTTAATAAAGTAAAAATTGACACACCGGTGATAAAACTGGGGAAAAGATGCAAAGGTTGATCTCTATATTGAATTTTAGCCTTTTCCCAGGCTAAAATGTGTTGCTAACGACTATGAATTCTTTTCTTTAGACGCGAACACAGCCACAAAAACCTGAGTCAGCTGGATTACTCAGGCATGATACTTTCACCATTGGTAGATCAGCTGACTCTAAGAGACCAATCATTCATCAGCCTGTTAATCGAGAAATCTCAACCCAGACACCGTTTTATGGCATTGATTTGAGGGCAGCCAGATCTATAGACTCCAGCGAGCCCCCAAGAGGTGAATCTTTAAAAATGTGTTTATAGTTTTTGTTAGATATAGTTAGATCTTAGAAGCATTACGTTAGCCTGCAATGCAGGCGTATTTTGGCGAGCGAGCGCGTTTTTATCAAGCGAGCGGAATCAAACTCGGAAGAGGCTTGGGGAGAGACAAAAAGGGGTCCTAGGGCGTGGGAGTGAGGCTGAAATCCAACATGGCGGCGAACGTACTCGATCATGAGCTAATACCGAGCACACCGTGCACACGGAAAACGCGTGCACCGCAGGCTGGAATTACGTGTGCATCATTGTGAGATGCTGGCCTAGACTTTTATTATACGATGCAATAGTACACAATACTTTATTTTTTGGACCGACTCTCAAAAATCAAAGTGAAATGCAAATGCAGTAGTCTTCCATAAGAAANGGGGGGGGGGTGGTCCTGAGTTGCCCGTGAACCCCCCTTTTGTAAGCCTTTTTTTAAGCAAACAACCTACAACAGGTGGCGAAAACGACATGACAATCTAGTGAGTACCCTCACTTTGACAGTACCCTCACTCCGCCCCCCTCCCCCCACTTTAAAAAATTCTGGCTACGCCCCAGGAGAGGGCATTTTCATTACAGCTGTGGGTTGGCTTGAATCCAAGACTTGAGATGAAACGTTCAAGAACTTCATGTAGTTTGACTGTCGTTGCAGCTCGTCCAAGTGCATTGGTTTGGTCAGAACTTAGACGTCAGAGGGAACTTCACGAGGAAAAGCTGAAGAAACGAAAGCAGAAGTTTTTGGAAAAACGAAAGAAGGCTGGCCTGGACGATGTTTCGGAAGGTGGAACATACTCTGTGAGGAGCGGCAGAAGTGGAGACATAGATGAAGGGTTTGGTGTGAGCATGATGAGTGCTGATATCACCACAGCTACGTGGGGAGGTTCTACCCAGCCCAGCAGTACACAGAACGACTCAGCAGTGTCAGCAGATGAGTCGGATGAGGAGAACCAAGGAGCAGAGGTAACAGAGAAAATAATGTGCATCAATAGGAGGTTATAGATGGTGTGGGTATTTCTATCAGAATGAAAAACCAATATGGCGATAACCTAGTAAACCCCATGACTGATTCAGACTGTAAACCTTTACGCGCTGTTACACTACGCAATGCTACGTCATATACTTGCATTATTGCCCAGTATTTTTTTGNTCCGCTACATTAAGCGTTGCGAAAAGTAGAACATGATTTTTTGTAAAACCCTTGCTGCAATGAAAACGTTTCGAGACATGATTTGTACTTCAGGGTATAATATAGGGCAATTTTTCTTACAACTTGTGTTGCATCAAACTTGCGAGACAAGTAGCAAGAGGAATTCCCCGGTGTAACAGCGCTTTTTTGCTGCATACTACATGAAAGTTTGACTCTAGGAAAAGTCGCAAAGAGTGGAAATATTTTGTTACAGCTTGCTCTTTAGCAATTACACTGGGGTAATACAGTTTGATAGAACAGTAGAACCTCAATTTATTTTGTAGCTTGTTGTTTACTGATGCTTATTTTGATGGTTATTTTGCCATTACAGATCGCAGTGGAGGTAGAAGATGATTATCCTGATGGAATAGTTCAAGCAGAAGAGGAAGAAGAAGAGCGTCTTGAACCAGAAGCTTTCTCTGGAGGAGCTCAGGCAGTGTTCAGGAGTAGAGAAAGAGTGCCTCGTATGACAGCCTTCAGAGGCAGTGTAGACAGCGCCTCACAGCCTAGTAGCGGCAAGAAACGCAAGCTTGATGGAAGCGCCCTATCAGGTAGTCTGAGTTCGTGTTCCTCACTTGGGACATGTGCGTAGTCTTCATAATGCAACTAGATAAGGCGAGGCGAGGCAAGGCAAAGCAAGGCGACACAGCAAAACGAGACGAGAAATTTTGTGATGATGAGCTTCATTGTAAATACACATAATTTTTGAAAGTGTTTGACGAAAGCATCCTGACTTGAAAGTTAAACTTCTTTCTGTAGTTCTACACTTGAGAGTAAACCCGTTGAGCATAGAACACAGTCACAAAATGAACACACTTTTTTACTAGTCTTTTTATCAAAAATTTACCAGAAATATTTATGGATGCGGAATCCTTTGAATGCTCAAAGACATTCCAGTACAACTCTTGTAGTGCTTCTCCACATAATTTTCTTTTTTACTTATATGAAATCAAAGCTGATCGGGTGTTTACGAGAGAAGATCAGTAATGTGTAATGTATTCTGTCGTCATAGGTGGGGCCCGAAAAAGGGAACGAGAAAGAGGACTTACATTTGAAGACTGGCCTAGAACATTCTACTTTGATAGGAATTCAAGAGGAAGAATCAGACAAGAAGTATGTAGGACAAACTACGTTCCAACATAATGGTATTATTGTACTTTGCAAAAGAAAATAGTTCTGGATGGGTCCATCCTTTTATCAGTTGTTGACAGGCTGACAGGAAGTTATTTTATAAGTTAGTCCATTCGTCATCGGTTTCAATCTTCTCCAGTCGTAACCGTCTGTGTTTTTGTTTAGAATTTACATGTATGATTACCTTTTCGACAGTTATGTACCTTTGTAAAGTATTTTATGTTGTCTATTGTTGAATACCTCCTAGTTTTCTGTCACAGAACTTGATTTTAGCTGATCAGCTAAACTGAGGTCAGAAGCAGTTAAACTTGATCTAAAGATGGCTTTCTAAATCGTTGATTAGCTCCTGTACTCAAATGATGTCACAGAACTTTGCTCTAGCTGAGCTGCTGAACTAATAACAGGAACAACTTAACATGGCTTGCTATAGTCTTTCACGCTCTAGACATCCTTTTAGCTGCTTGGTTGTTGAACCAACGGAATACCTGTGTAGGAGGCTATACTTAAAGGTGACTTGTTGAATAGCTACTGTTAAACTATCTCTTTGTTCCACAGAACTTTACACCAGCTGAGCAGCTTATCAAGGAACGGGAACAGGAACAGTTTAACATGGAACGCCAAGCATGGGAGCAGCACTGCGAGCGTCTTCACCAGGAAGTCACCACCCTCACCACCCTGTGCAATGGGCTCCTCAGAGATCAACAAATGCTGGTGTCCACAGTGATTGGCAGAAATGTTCCCAGCGGGCCTGCTTCAGGTCCCGGTTTTCAGAACTTTCCTAGCCCAGTACCAGGTCTGGGTAAGTTAACAAAGCTGATTTGATACAAATTTGCGCTGACAAGTGGTAAAGTGGTTTGCACTTCAGCCGCTACATTAAAAATACGTGTTATGTACGTTGTTACACTTTGTGATCCATTGTTTTCTTTCTTTCCTCTTCATGTGCGAGAGAGCAAAAGGCGTTAACAACACTCTCATTATTAAAATGGCTCTAGCATTGTCCACATTGTTTCTGTATTGCCTAATACAGCGTTGAATAACTCTTTAAAGTATTTTATGTATGTCTTTTTTTTTTTTTTTGATATTTTTTATATATTTTTCTTGGTATATTAGCATGACTGTATTGCTAGGGGCCTAATTAGCCTCATCAACCTGAGTTGAAATAATGTTACTGACTTACTTTCTTGTATTGGTACGAACAATTTACTTGACTATGGATTTATTCATGTGGCATTTATAACCTGTAAATGAAAGTGTATTAACTACTGCCCAGTCGTGAATACTTTCAAGCAAGAGTTCGGACCTTAGAAGGGCAAACCTCGTATAGCGACAGCATTTGTTGACCTTTACTGACAAACATCTGCATATAGTCGTTTAAATTTTTACCTTAGCATCAGTGGTATATAAATGGGTTTTTCGTTCTGTGTGTTAGGTGGGAATCCATTCGAGCAGTATCAACAGAGGCAACAAGAAGCCTACCAAGGACTCCAGAGTTTCTTCGATCAACAGCGCTACATGCAGCAGCAACATCAGATTCTTCAAAGCCTTAATCAGTGCTATGCACAGCTTCAGCAACAACACCAAGACATGGCGACCCTTCAGCAACAATTCCAGCAGCTGTTTTCTTACAATCCTTCCGCTCTTGGTGATAGCAATCCGTCCCCACATAGACCCCAGTCTGCGACTCCAAGCGTTATCAACAACACATCTCCATCGTTTATGAGTCTGCCGTCCCACAGTGTATTGCAGCCACCTTTCTCAGCTCCTCTGTTTAGTCAGGCCCCTTTTACGAGTACATATCAGCCACCTTCATCAGCTCCAATGTTTAGAACTGCTTGGCATCCTCAGTTCGGCCAGCAGGTGGGTAATTTTTACAAGTTGAGTATGTGTTCAGCTAGAATTACGAAACTGATATTTGAATTACCATGTGCGTTAAACATTTAAGTGCTCTTTTTATTTAGGAGATTAGTGGGGATGGTTGTTTTGAGCTAGGAGTCTTGCTGTCTTCTTGTGCGCAAAATTCTTAGAATAAGCATACAGGTGAAGGAAGGCTGTTTCGCACTGACGACGTTTTTAGGTCTTTTATAGTGAATCATTATCAGTGAATTATTATCAGAATTATTATCAGTGAATCAGTATCAGAATTATTATCAGTGAATTATTATCAGTGTTATCAACTAAGTTCTTAGAACAAGGGGTGACACCATTTCAGGCGGATTATCAAAGCTGGGTGTTCCCCACCTAGTGCAGCAGTCGTGTTTGAAGAGGATGATCAGGTCCTCAGGGCACATCTATATACATATAATGCTGAGAAACGTCTTCGTAGCGGCGCACATTTCTGCATCATTTTGGGAAGAAACAAGGATTTACTGGCATTTGGCTGTTAAGTACGTGTATTCTGTGTCTCAGTAAAATATTATTGATATAACGACCCTTGACATCACCTGACAAAGGAGGAGTTGAGATAATTGTCACGTCATGAAGGAGCAGCGTATAGACCTTGAAACAAAGGTGAATTGCTAGTAAATTGTCATTTTATTCTGCAGCCAGCAGCAGCTAACGAGCCTCCTCAATCAAGCGAGCAAGCATCTGGCAACAGAACAAAGCCAACTCAAGAGTCTTTCAGTGTAAACCCAGACACAGGCATACCAAGTCCAAGATCTACTGCTCATCATGGGCATCCTGTTGAACCTGCGCCTCCCCCTACCTCATCAGGAATAGCCAACCCAGTAATGGTGGTTCGGGAGGTTGGCCCTAGTGTGATAGGAGTGGGTCTGTCTCCCGGTAACATCAGGCAGGAACGAAAATACGATCCCAATTCATACCAAGGTAGGTGAAGCATTAAGAATTCTTTATTAATAAATAGTAAATGCCAAAAGAAACATGCCCAGATTCATAAGTCTGGACTTACAATTTCAAACAACTAACTGCTATAAAAAACTTATTGGAAACTGTTTACAATTGTATGAATGTTCGACGTGAATTCTTGATGCTTTCAAAACATCCATGTAATTATAATTGTTTAGAGTACAACACGCCTGCAAGAAAGGTAAAGGTGAAAAGTCTGCATACGGGCCAAGTGGCCCATCACGCCGGAGCTCATCCTGGTTTCTGTAGCATGAAGCGACTAGGAGTACTTCTCCTCCCTGGATGGGATGCTAGTCCGTCGTGGGGTTGCCCCCAGCATTGAAAAAAAACCCTGGGTGGAGGGAGGCACTGTGAGAGTAAAGTGTCTTGCGTAAGAACACAACACAATCTCCCCGGCCCGGGCTCGAACCCCGACCGCTAGATCCGGAATCGAGCGCACTAACCATGAAGCCACCGTGTCTCCGTCTTCAAAAAGGCAAATGCAAAATTGCAAACTCTTAATAGAGAAACAAAAGCAATATGTTGCAACCGATTTGAATGTACAAAGCTGAGTTTTATGAACCCTGAAGTTAGAGTTTCTAGTGCTCGAAGAAGTGCTTTTTGCGTCCCTTGTAAAAAACTATGTAGAAACAGTCCCTAGCTCTTTGCTTTGGCGACACAGTGGCCAGTGTTAATGATGCAATGTAAATTGACAGGATTAATGCAAACAAACGAGACGTTTAGTTTAAGACGTTTGTCTTGTTGGTACAAAGAAGTAAACGTGACGTATTCGTGGAATAGAACACCAAGCGAGGCCTTGATTAGTGTTTATCCTGATAACAACGTCGGTGAAAACTGCCTTGGATTACCAGACTCGAAAAAGACACTACTGTCTACAAATAATCAGTTAACACTGAAATATGTATGTAGTTACCTTTATACCATGCCAAAGAAAATACAGCCAATCAGAATACAAGAAATCCGTGTTATACTCTGATATTACAACCAACCTTTCCATCGTGGGCCGCTCGTATATGTATGTTCCATTGATTGTGTTGGAAACTAGAATAACAATAACTTGACTAACGTGTCGAATTGTTTTAGCCCAGGGATAACCCACTACTGATAGAGGACACCTACCTAAAATTACAAAAATTACAAAACCTAAGATTGATTTAATCTATGAAATGATGTAAAATAGTTACCCAACACTCTCTCGTGGTATACCATGGGATATCCCTCTTGTACTTTCTTGGTATACACACTCGCTTAAAGGATCGTGAATTTGCCGAGAAAATACAAGTGATTCGTGATATATTCCATGGTATACACTTGAAAGCGTTTGCATAACTGATATGTATCATAATATAATGGTGTACTCTTTCTGTTCTTCAGAACTGGCATCCACAAGTGCAAATGCAACTAAAACAGACAGCAGCGCGGATGTGATCGGTCGCACGTTTAACACACCTCTGAGGGCGTCAGCTGTAGCCAACCTTGCACGGAAGGATAAATCAGCACAGAAGAGCGCAGCGGTTAATTTGGCACAGAAGCTCGCAGCTGAATCAGTGGAAACGTCTTCAAGAGCGTCCAGTGTACCGGGAGACGCGCATGATGTGGCAAGAGGGTACGTGAGGGAATTATACCGCGTCCTAATCTCAGAGCCACTCTGCGTTAAACTCTTTGCAGTGGCAGCGAAAGACAATTTGCATGTAGGAAAAGTGCTTCATAGCTTGATTCGAAGTTTACGACATTACATATTCGTTCGTAAAGTTTATCTAAGCATAAATCTTTGCTGTTTTCGTTGTTATAGCTAACCTTACTTTTTTTGGTACGCTTCGGTGGCATGCCTGGCGAGTTTGGTCGAGCCATGATTCATATTTTGGCGAGAGGCAGTAGAGTTAAAATGTCCATGGCGAGCCTACGTACGAGCCTGATATGTTACCTAAGCGTACCAAACCCATGGTACATACACTCATTCATCATACCTAAATTCGCCCTTCGAAAGATTCGGCGATATTAGGTCATTGACTTGCTATGGTAGAAAGTCAGGACAGTAGACAGGGTTTCTGATACAGTTCTGATAAAGTACCGATTGGAGAACAGAGCATTTGGGTACGATAACAAGATGTGATTCTCTTTTTGGAATGTTAATTTCATTTTATTTTTTCTTTAGCTCTTGGCAAGAAGCAGATAGGTAGGTTTTCCTTGACTCGAATACTTTCTACTACGACCAATGTATTTTCTTTCTCTCGACCGTGCTAATCGTTTACCTTTTCCCATTTTTGTTACAGAGCCTCAGAAGCTGGAAGTGAGTTTTCGCTTTTTGAGGCACTCAGAGATTCCATCTATTCCGAAGTTGCAACCCTCATTTCTTTAAATGAGTCCAGGCCACATTTTCTGGTACGGTTTCCCATTGTTTATTCGTTTTTTCTGGCATAGAACTCGTAGGAAGAAGTAGTTACATAGAAGGGGAATCTGTTATCATGATGGAGCTCGTTGGCAGTTAAGCCCAGCGTTAAAGTACCAAGACAGTTTGGCAGGCGCTTAAATTGTCCTCGAATTGTAGGGAACCTCGAAAACGTTTTCTTATGTAGAAAGTCACCAAAGGATTACAAATGAAGGCAAAGGAAACAAGGATGACCAAGATTGGAGCAGATGGCTGAACTTGACGCAGTTATTTCAAGGGAACTCCATTTATGTTTGTACAACCGGTTTCGTCCTTGTCAGAATCTCCCAATAATTGATTGACCTGGGCATCGAGACTGACATGGGTTTTGTTTGGAATTTCTTTCCAGCTCGAGTTGTTCAGGGAACTGCAGCTGTTGACTTCAGACTACCTGAGGCAGCGCGCCCTGTATGCGTTACAGGACCTGGTGACGAGATTTTTAACGGAGGATTCCGTCGGTGCAGAAGGAGCGCCTCTGCAACAGGCAGTAAGACTGTTAACGTTGTACACATAATTATATTTACGCGGTTTCCTAAAATAGACTTAAAATGTTCTCCATGTAGATGCTACTACTTAATCTTACAATGTTCCAAAGCACAAAATTCTCTTCACCACGGTAAACTGCTTAATTTAAATCAACCTTTCAAATGGTTTTATGTTGAATTGCCGTCTCGTTTTGAACGGCTGTGCCCTTGTTTACTTGATCGAAAATTTCTCAATTTTGAATTTACCCGTTCTGGAAAGTGGTCCAAAGTAAATTCGCTGAACATGGGTTGTTCATTTGTATCTTTTCCCCCTTTTTTTGTCGTCCTGGTTGTCGTTTTTGGTTTGGTTGTTATTTCCTTTGTCTGTTTTGTTTATATTTTTTGGATTGTTCCTTTCATTGTAGCGATTCCAGGAATGGTTGAACTCTAACTCTGAACTGACTCCAAGTGAAACAGTGGAGACATTTGAAGACGACGAGTCAGAGGTGGGGAACAGCATTCTTTTTTTTCTTCTTCTTCTTTTTTGATTCATGTTATATCCTGAGGAAACCTCGCCTCGAGAGACGAAAGATCTTATTAGCATGTTGATTACGGTAGTACAAGGTTATCTTGAAAACGTTCCCAGTGCTAACTGTGATTTTCATACTCTACAGACCAGGGAGGGCGCGGTTCCTGCAGAAACCGTCACGGAAGGAATCTATGACTATGTAGAGAATGTGGAGTCTGGAAGCACCCTGTCCACTCCTACATCCAGTCACACGGGGGAGGCACCATTCGCCTCTGAAGGCCTGGGAGACACTGTTATACACCTCGACAAGGTAAGGAACTTCAAACTGTGTAAGACGTAAAGCTTGGTTCACATTTGCGAGAGAAGCACAAGCATAAGCGCAAGCATAAGCACAAGAAAACGCTAGAGCGTACCTAGGTGAAATAAGCACAAGCATGTAAGCATAAGAAAAAGAAATATTTTCCTTTTTCATGTGCTGGCGCTCATGTTTATTTCACTAGTGTTAAATGCCGGCTTATTTCACAAGTGGGAACTGGGTGAAATAACCACAAGCATAAGCGCAAGAATTCAACCATCGCCATCTTCCTTCTCCAGCGATGTGATTCGCACTGCACGTGCGTTTGTTGCTAGTGTGAACATCCTTGTGCTTGTGCTTGTGTTAACGCTTGTGCTTATCTCAAACAAACGTGTGAACCAGCCTTAACGAACAAAAGACGTGCAGGAATATCCAGGCTAGGTGATGTGAATCTGGTCAAATGGAGCTCTTCTACTGATCAATTAAAATCTGGCAAACTTCTAACAGGGTCAATTAGTGTACTAGGAAAAGACTTCCTAGATTGTTGAACTTGTCTTTACAGGCGCTGAGCAGGATGCGGGAGTATGAAAGACTGAGAACTGAAGGGAAACTGGGTGAATTGATGACCGGTCCTTCCGTGTTAAAGGACAAGATCGTCAAAGATGACGTCACCACAAGCTCTGCTGGTGACGTGGGGAGCGAATCCTCCATATCAGATGTGCAGGTAAGTGTTTTAATTCTCGGTAGTGATTCTCTTCTCATTTTTTAGTTCTGAGAATTTCGTGTTACATGCAGACGATTCCTCACTTATTCGACAGTACCCAAGGATTGACACTCAAGCCCTGGATCATCTTATCAAGTCCATCATGTCGGTAAGTTCCACTAAATTTCTAGGAAGAGAGTACATTTGAAACTGAAACGTGAGTGCCTGCTCATCAAACAAGTCGCAAATTAAGCAATAGTCTATCTTCGAAACCGACTGCTGCTTTGCCATTGTCCAGCGAAAGTGCGTCCTGAGCACTCGACGTACAACGTCGGATAGTTGTGTTGAACGATTAACAAATAACAAGCCTTTTCCGACAATATATGGGCACCGTGGCATTTAACGTCAACCTTTCAGTGTGGTGCAGTGTTGACATAACCAGTATTTTATTTTTGATTGAGGATAAGAATAGGAAACTTGCCTATTTGTTGAACTAAAACTTGTTCTCTTTCCTACAGCTTTGAAGGACCGTGGCAGGTTTTTGTTATTTGAAAATGTTCTTCTTGGTCTATTTTCTTTTCTTTTTTTAGGAAGTGATTCCTTATCTGAATGAACACATGGAAGATAACTGCACTTCTGAGCTGCTTGGTTACATCAGAAACCTCGTGTTATCAAGGATTCAAGTCAATGAAGACCAGGTACAATTTTGGGTTTTCTAATTTTTCTTGTTTGTTTGCTTGTTTGTTTTTGTTCTTTCTTGACGACATGACAGCAACTTGCAGAATCCGCGTCATGAAAATGATTGTTCTATACACCTAAAGGCTAAAATTCTACTTGCTACCTCCTAAACGTATGAAACTTGACCTGGAGGAAAAAAGTAACGAAATTATTACAGGTATGTAATACCCCCTTAATTAGATAATCGTTTCTATAACATCCTTGTTTACTTGTTTTGTCAGGAATTTGGCAGATTCTTCCATAAACAGCTGGCTTCCATTCTCCAGGACTCACTCTCTAGATTCACAGATAGAAAGTATGTCCTTTCGTTGATTTTAGTGACTTTTGAACGCCGCCACATCGTTGTTCTTACTGTGTGTCTGCTATTTTTTATCGTTGTACCGTTTTGGTTATAAAGAGATTTTTCGTTTGCTTTTCAGCCAGTCTCTAACGAGAAGCGTTTTTAAGTGCCTTTAAACCAAATGCGAACTAGGTACTTACCAAACCGTAGTAAAACCAAAACCAAAGTAATTGCTTGATTACTTTCGACACCGCTCCAATGAAAGAAGAAAACAGCGAAAGTAATCTTTGTTAGCTTTTTACGACAAAATAAGCAACAAGATGGTAACTATTGGTGAATGTCAAATGTATCTATCTCACTAGAATGAAAGACTGTGGAGAGGATATGCTGGTAGACATGTCCGAGATTCTGTTCAACGAGCTGGCGTTTTTTAGACTCATGCAGGACTTGGACGGGTAAGAGCTTCTCATTAAAAAATGGCGGCTTTTTCTTTACGGCTGGACCTCGCCATAGAGGTAAATCGTCATTTTCTCGCGAACGAGTGTGGTCACCTATCATTTTTTTTTTTCTCCTGTTGTTTTGAATGGAGTAATAAATTTCCCTGTGTAAAATGAATATGGACCAATTCCCAGTGTAGAACAAAAAACAATCGTCGGAAAGGTGAATTTTGCAAGCAATCGTGACTACAATCATGGTGCTATTATAAGGGTTTAATGGCTATAAACAAGGTGCTGTTGCTCCTAAACGAATATGGGGACCCCTCATTTTTATTTCAAAATTTAATTTCCTACATTATAAACAATGAATAGGCAAAGTTTCCCAAAAAAGTGGAATGACCTTAAATACAGTTCAGTTAATGGAGATGAATTCCTAACCTCTCTTAACCTTTGGTATATGGAAAATTACGTGCATAATACCTTATTGCGCCTCCTCATTGGGGCTTTTCAGAAACAATTAGTTTTAAAAAAGAGATTAAAAGAAACATTCACCTTAATTGTGTGCAAGTGATGATAATGAATGAGTTGGTCATCTCGGTAAAACCTCTTGATTCAAAACCACAGTTTCCTTAGTAGTGCGAGGCAAAGTGTGCAAGAGTAAATGAGGAGTGATTCGGTGCTTATATAGAGATTAAAGGGGTTGAAACAAGGTGTGTCCTTCTGTTTTATATATCAGTCGAGGAACAAGTCAGAGACCAACTTGGAGACAGGTTAGTTCAGTTGCTGTGTTTGCCAAGCCTTGTAGTTTAGCATTAGATATTGTTAAAGTTTTAAAACGGTCTCTGGTTAAAATAGTTTAAAATTGGGAGCTTTCGATTGCCAGTCTGCAATCTTTGACAGATAGTGAATAAAAAACGCGATCGTTGAAATGTATACCGTTACAAGTGTGAAGTAGAAAAAATTACAATAAGAACAAAAAGATACTTGGGAGGAAATAAAATGCCAAAATGGGGTTCATAAAAGAATAGAATATTGACTCTGGTAATAATCTTGAGTTATTGTCCGATACGATTGTCATTGTGGTATGCCAGGATTCCATAGTCTTTCTCACGCGAAAATGATTGCTCTTTTAGTTATTACAAAAGCTATATAAAAAAAAACTCCGGTCTTGGTGTGCGTAGTAAACAAACTTAACGCTTGTTGCTATGTGTTTAGGGATTTGATTCTGCCAGCACTGACACTGGGACAGGTCAGGACGGAGACAAAGAAGATGGCGATGATACGGAGGAGAAGGACGAGAATCCCCGCGAAGACAGGTTAGGAAAAACTTACCTGTGCAAGTACTTCTACACTCTTAGCTTTTGCTAGCAGATGGCTGACTTGGTGCTTCACATTTGTGTTTAGTGCTGTGGAGGAAGAAGGAGTCGGCGCTGCTGATGAACCTGAGGAGGCAGAAGGTGAAAAAGTGGAGGAAGATGAGGGAGATGAAGAAGATGAAGAAAGCAGCGAGGAGTCCTCTTCATCAGAAGAGTCAGGAGCTGAAGACGAGGGTGCAGATGACGAAGGACCAGAAGATGAAGAGGGTGAGGAAGGTGGAGCTGCCTTGCCAATCTCCAAAGAGCAGCAAGAAGCTGAGGAGGAAGATCTGGGAAAGGTTTGTTAATTTAATTTTCTAAACGAAATCAGCAGTTCAAACTTTAATTCTTGTTTGACCTGGAACGCTCTTACGTTCTTGGTGACTTTCGTCAACTTCTTTGCACTGACGGAGAATTTGAACTCACTCATGTGCTGTTGTTGTTGTTTTGTTTGTTCGTTTGCGTTTCTTGAGGGTCGTCAAGTTTTTGTTTTTCTTCTTTGACTTACGATTGATAAGAACTAAATGTTTGCGCAACTCTCCTTCAAATTCCTTTCGCTTCGTTAGGCAGGGCCTCTAAATACCTCTATCACAAGGCTGTTAATTTGATAAGGTTTGTCACCGAACGACGCATATTTATTTAATTGGCAATCGCACAAAGGTCTTTGTGCCTGTGAACAAGTGTGGTAGAACCTCGAGTTTGGATTAAATCAATTTTGTTTCTTTTGTCTCATCACTATATGTCTTACAGTTGTTTCTATTGCTCTTGTTTGATGTGCGAAATGTTTGAGCTTATCTTTTGCAGTGTCATTACTTTCATTTTAAACGTTCTTTAAACTTTTTTTTTTTTGAAGGCAAGAGATGACGTAATGGCAAGTCAGTTTGAAGAAAGAACGTCAAGGTAACAGCTGTAAAAACTCACAAAACTCATCTCAAATAAAATTGCCTTTACATTATTTAGCCTGCATTCGCTGTGCAACTTCAATTGTAAGTCTGCACTGAAAAATTCTCATTTTTCCTTGTTTAATTTGTCAACAATGTTACCTTTTCTGTTTTTTTTCCTCCAGTTTACAAGATAATAGCATCCTAGATTCTCCACAGGTAAATTGTTTTTGGAGGTGTTGTTATTGCGGCTGTTTCTGCTGTTGACTTGTTACCGCTGCTATTGTTGTTGTTACTGATGACCCTTTGTTGTTGCTGTTGTTGCTGTTGTTGCTGGTGCCGCTCTTGTTTTTGTTTTTGTTGTTGTTGTTGTTGTTGTTGTTGTTGTTGTTGTTCCTGGTGCTGGTTCTGGTGCTGTTGTTTATTGCTGTCGCTGTTGTTGTTGTCGCTGTCGGCGTTGTCTCATCAGTTGTCTGTATTGTTTTACTTTCCAGAGAACTTTTTTTCACCTGAATTGTCAAAATCACTCTCTTTCCCTTTTGTCAATTCGTTAGTAATGCAGCATTTTCACTCAAGAGCGTACTTTCCGTTCTGTTTTATTTTAGAATTGCGTAAAGTTGGAGCTGTCAGCAAGTGAATCAAAGCCTTTTTCAAGGTAACGTTAAATTTACTGTCTAATGGATATAACAGTTGTGATCAATGTGGTTTACAATACGTCAAACCTCTATACACCTACGATTTTCATGGCCTTGAAGTTTGTAAGAAAAGTTAACGTTATCTTAACTTTTAGCTTAGGATTTTTAGTAAATTTGAGACGTCGAGCGGCAGTATTGGTGGGAACGAAGAGGGAACTACGCGCGCGCGGAAACGAAGAGAGAATTACGCGCGCGCCGTACGTTTGACCGCTGTGAGCTATACAGCGGCCAATCTAGGGTAGAATTAATTAACTATTGTACGGAGGTTTTAGTAAGTGAGAAATGTATGGACTGACATACGATCGCGATAGCAGTTAAAGTCAGGTAGCTGTTATAGAGAGGTGGTTGTTGAGGTTCGAGTAAACCGCGAAAACAAAAATACGGTTTTCAAACGGCTAATTTACAATCCTTTGATATCAGTTCTAACCTTCCAACTGTGTTATAACGTTTTTCTTTGACCATTTATTATAGTTTTGGAAGTGGAGAAGAAGACGGAGAGGAGTCGTTTGATGACTCTGATGCCAGGCGGAAGCTAGAGGAATATCAAGGAAGTACAGCAGCGGCAGCATCCGCCAACAGAGACCGTGGAAACAACAGAGACGGGCCCAGCGACAGCGACGATAACGGTGCACCCCAGGATGAGCAGCGGCAGGCCGTGGAGGCTGCGGCTGAAGCAGCTGCTGCAGCAGGAATATCTGGGTATTTGCAAAACGGACAGGTCAGTAGGATCAACGGCTGGTGTTTCCTTAATTTATCCACACTATACCAAGTAGGCAGGTTTTGAGAACAAGCCAAGAAACTGTTAGAACCAGTGTCTTGTTAATTGTTAATTCCTTAGCGTGAAATATCCTTAACTTGTTCATTTAAACCGTCGTTCCAAGAATGCGGAACTAAATTAAAATAACGTCTCCTCGCTGCTAATTTTCTCATTTCCTCTTCCTGTCTTGATGATTTCTAAATACGTGACGGATAGGTTAATGAATTTACAGTAGAACTTAACTTACTTTCGCCCGGTCCTTGGAAGCAAAGAACCACTTAGCCAGTCTGTCGAAAGGGCAAATTCTTTAAATTTCCCGTTCACTCTTCTCTATCTCCTTCGGCTTTAAAATATAGTTCTTGACGTACACTCTCATACCGAGAGTTTATACTCAAATCTTTTTTTTATGTTTGTGTTTGTTTTACAGATCGCCAATGGTCAAGATGACAACGAAGTTATTCTGGATGACCTTCCTACCAAACTTACTGGATTAACGGAGGTAACGACTGACTGTGACTGAGGTTGTTGGCTTTCACTACATGAACAGAACTTCAAATTGAAAGAGCCCTGAGAATGATACAAACCCAAAACTGAGGAAAATCTTGAAGGATTACGAACGACTTACAACGCGTCATTCGCTCCTTCAGTCAGTATTTTCCTCGTCGAGGAGTGATTCATTACAATTCCCTTTACAATTTAACATCAGATTTTAGAAGATACATCATGAGAATACAGCACCTGACCAATCAACTCAATTAATAGCCTGGATGCAGACATCTACTGTCATTGTTTCAAGCTACAAAGTTGAACACAGGCAATAGTAGACGTCTGCGCACGGGGTTCTTAATTAACTGGAAGGAAATTACCCGGACGCGACATTTGAAAATAAATGAATTACAAAGAGGATGACGGTAAAACCTTCTAACATACGCGCGTCTTTGGTTTTCCCAGGCAGACTTGCAGGCTCGAATTGCAGAAGAGCAAAGCCGGACAGAAGGATCCTCAGGTGTCCTCGCTCATCTAGACGGATTTCCAGGTATGGTATCACCAAGAAACCTCCTGGGCGAGCTTCCGACTCTTTTGCCAACTTTTGGCGGACTGTTTTGTTAAATGTTCGTGATGTTTTTCTTTCTCTGATTACTTTTTGCTTAAGCCCTTGGCCATCATGTGCAACACTTGAACAATGCAAACGTGAATAAATGACCAGAATATGATGATAAAGACTTTAGCAAACAGTAATTAGAGAAGTAAGAAACTTCGTGGAACGTCTTAGACGAGTAAATGCTGGGCTCTATTAGTCCCTCGAAAGCGGAAAACTGCAATAAGCCACCTTTAATTAGAAGTCAAGTGAACAGATTTACGCAAGTGATAGCTAAGGACTACTGCGGGTGTTAGAGAAAAGATAAAGCACAACACCAAATATCAGTGTATCTTTTCTATACTTTTTGGAGTGATGTCGGTGGTGGTGTTGTCTTGCAAGTGCTCGCGAGCTTTTCTTCCCGTTCAACACAAGATCCCCTGCGAAACTGATCAATAAGAAAAACAGCTACACTCCTTCTTATCTCGCCTTTCCCTCGTTTCTTCCCCCCTCTCCTCCCTCCCTCTTTTCCTGTCCCTTTTTCCGTTTCACCCCCCCCCCC